GGATCAAAATAAACACAGCCAGCCTTGTAGCCCCGAAAATCTTTGGCCAAGACGGAAAATGCAGAATAGGTGCCATAAAAGAACGAGTGATCCTTCAACTCATTCCCTACCTTAACCCATTTGTGCTCCTCTTCATCAAGTTTCTCAACTGCCCATGTATCCGCTGTAGGAGTAAGATGTTTATACAACCCAACAATATCCCCACCGTTCTCCAGTACCCAAACAAGAGTATATTCATAAGTCCTCATTGGAGAAACCTCGGTGATTTCCAATGAATCAGGATCAATCCTCAGAACCAATCCACGATTGGTAAAAGCATAAAATCTACCACAGGCATACAGAACATGTTTGAAAGAACATCCCTGCCATGTCGTATTTTCAGTGATGATAATCCATTTCTCATCTCCCATTTTCCACACGGCCAAATCCAGTTTATGACTAACAGGCGTCATGACCGTATATCCATCGTTAAAACTCCAAGAAACAGCAACTTGACGCGGATAATAAGCAGAACGATCTTCTTCTTCGCCAACAATCTTAAGATAATAATGGGTGCATATCTCATCAACTCTATAATCCAACAAGTTCAAGACAGTGGGCTTGGTACTCCAGTAGGGAACTACGGCCAGCAAATCATGGAAATTGAGATTGCCAGACTCCGAGGACTGGATCCTCATAAGCCATGGTTTGATGCTGGAACCGGAGAGAGGCTTAACAGAGTACACACTGGTCTCTGTGAGGGTAATAAACTGGCCAACAAAGCCAAGTTTAAAATCTTCGTGCAAATCTTCAATGTCGGGTTCGATTGGGTAAGGAAGTTTGGGAAACAGAGGAGGATGGGGAGGAAGAGGGACGGAACATCGCCATGAGCGGCAGACACTCCGGATACGGAGAATGTGGAGGCGGCTGCGGCCCAGGCAATTGGCAATATTCTCCAACAATTCACTTGGAAGATAAGACCATGAGCATTTCCGTGAGGCTGGATCCATTGATTGAATGTGTGAACTAAAAGCATAAAATGACACACAATTAGCTAAAGGTTTCCTAGGCTTTCTTCCCAACAGATCCCTGTACAAGAAAGAAATCAAACAGGAAATTGGAAATTCACCAAGGCAGTAGTGGACCAAGAATAATTGCAAGTAACATCAGAATCAACCTTATTTCAACTACAAAGTTTCATTATATCTAGTTTCAGTTTGTGAGCTACTCAAAAAACAGAACTGGAAAAAAGTACAATTTAGTCGCTTTGCACCATTTGGGGTTATTGCTCAATTTGATCAAAAGCCACAATCCTTACAGGATCGAGTCCAATTTGATCTAAAGACAGCTCATTTTCGTGCTAAAACCTTAAAAGAAGCTGGCATGCATCATCACTATCACAAAGCCTGCATATCTTGCTATCATTTTTCCTACATATATGCAATGAAACTTAAAAGAATTTTGCTATAACATAGTTTCAAACTTTATTTTATGCAAACTCCATAACATACTTAACACACCAGAATTTTCCAGGGCATGCATAACAAAGATCATGAGAGGAAACTAACAAACAAAATCAGGCTATGAATTCAGGGAACTCACCTCTGATTGTAGAGTGTTAATACTTGAGCATTGAAACCCTAGTCCAAGGCCATTGTACTGTTTTTTATGACACAGAATCAACAAATGATGGATGAGACAGTAAGCTGATATGTTACTGTGAGAAGAGAAGAGACTCCGAGTTCGAGTGAATAGTGTAAGACGAAAATAAGATACGAATACGTTAACTGACCCAGCCCACTAGCTGCTACGCAAAAACCTTCAAAGCCCAAACATATGCACACACACAGCCACCACGGCATTCACCGGCGCGTACGCGCGTGGCACACCCACCAGTTACCGGGAAACGTATCAGAAGCGCATGGTCCTTCTTAATTTCCTTCTTCTTCTTCTTAATTAATGTAAAGTTTTGATCTTTAGCTTTTTGGTCATCCAAAGTTTGATTCTTTTGCCGTTACAGAGAAGGCAAAGAAAGATGCAACGAAAAAACGCGGTAAGAGTGTCGGGTTCAATGGTGGATGCGGTGAATGCTGCAACCAGAAGCAGATTGAGTACCGAGGGTAGGGCATTGGCTGCAACCATTGCAAGGGTTATGAAGCAGACGGATCAGTGTCTCACTGCCTCTCATGCAATTAAGGTATGTGTGTCGGGTTCAGTTTAGTACTACTTTGAAATATGAGGTTGTTGGGTTTCTTTTGTTGGAGACAGTGAATTGATGTTAAATGGTTGTGGTTTTTGTTTGTGTACACGCGTGTCTTGTTTTTTTTGTGTAGGAGATTGGGGACATTGAGAATTGGATGAAGAAGACTATGGAGTTTGATTGTAAGAGCATCACTGCATCCATTAAAAATATTCACCAGGATTGACTAAACGGATGGTTGGATTAGAAGTCTTTGCTTAAGATGATGTAAAACTTAACCCGAGTTGAAGATGTTTCCTAATGAACACAGTTTCAATTCATCACTACTTTGTACTGCCTTTTTTTTAACCTGCGCTCTCTCTGTTTGGGTGTGTGTATGAATCATGATCCCCTGCTAAAGGCTTCTCTTGCTGAGAAAAAAGTACCTTTCTCGATGTCTTAGACTATTGTTGATCTATTTTGATCTGTTCTTT